TTTATATATTTAAATGTTTCTATCATATCCCCCCTGTCTCGTCTTTCCTCCAAGCTATACATGCTAAGATCCTTTAACCTTTCCTGGTAAGTTTTATCCTGCAATCCATGAACCAGTTTAGTAGCCCTTCTCTGAACCCTCTCTAAGGTATCAATATCCTTCTGAAGATACGGTCTCCAGTACTGTGTACAATACTCCAAGTGTAGTCTCACCAGTGTTCTATACAATGGCATGAGCTCTTCCCTCTTTCTACTGCTAATACCTCTCCCTATACAACCAAGCATTCTGCTAGCATTTCCTGCTGCTCTATTACATTGTCTGCCTACCTTTAAGTCATCAGAAATAATCACCCTAAATCCCTTTCCTCATATGTTGAGGTTAGGACTCTATCAAATATTCTGTACTCTGCCCTTGGCTTTTTACGTCCAAGATGCATTATCTTGCACTTATCCACATTAAATGTCAGTTGCCACAACTCTGACCATTTTTCTAGTTTACCTAAATCATTTGTCATTTGGCTTATCCTCCTGGAACATCAACCCTGTTACATATCTTAGTATCATCAGCAAAAAGACATACCTTACCATCAAGACCTTCTGCAATATCACTAATAAAAATATTAAAGAGAATGGGTCCAAGTACAGATCCCTGAGGTACCCCACTGGTGACAAGTCCAAGCTTCGAATATATTCCATTAACTACAACCCTCTGTTGCCTGTCACTCAGCCACTGCCTTACCCATTCAACAATATTGGAATCCAAACTTAAAGATTGCAGTTTATTGATAAGCCTTCTATGTGCAACAGTGTCAAAAGCCTTACTGAAATCTAGGTAAGCAATGTCTACTGCACCACCCTGATCTATAATTTTAGTTACCCAATCAAAAAATCAATAAGATTAGTTTGGCATGATCTCCCTGAAGTAAACCCATGTTGTCTCTGATCTTGAAATCCATGTGTTTTTTAGATGTTCAACAATCCTATCCTTTAACATGGTTTCCATCACTTTCCCCACTACTGAAGTAAGGCTTACTGGCCTATAGTTGCCCACTCCTCCCTATTACCTTTCTTGTAAATGGGCACAACATTCGCTAACTTCCAATCTTCTGGGACTACTCCTGTTAACAATGATTGGTTAAATAAATCTGTTAATGGTTTTGCTAGTACACCACTAAGCTCTTTTAATAGCTTTGGGTGTATTCCATCAGGTCCCATTGACTTATTTGTCTTTACTTTTGACAGTTGATATAGAACCTCTTCCTCTGTAAACTCACGTGTAATAAATGACTCATTTATCCTTTTTCTCAACTGAGGTCCCTTTCCTTCATTTTCTTCTGTAAAAACACACACTCTGCCCAACCAATCCCATGCATCTATCCCCACACTCCTAGCTGCGCTATCTCCCCAGGGCCTGGAAGGTGCTGGGGTTCTGAGCGTCGCCTGGTGTTAACAATAGTAACATTAAATTGTTTTATAATGTCGGAATAGTTTATTTAAAGGGATTAATGATATTAAGTCAGTCCGTTCCCTCCTTTACGGCACAGATAATCAATACGTATGGAAGCCATGATACATCTCTCCCACTTTCTCTGGAAATCACTAATTAATTGCGGGAAGACATGGGACGTGAGGTAGCAATTTGCTAAATCATGATCCCACTCGCTGTATTATTTAATTCCCGGATAGTTTGGAAGTATAAACATGGACGTGGGCTTGCTATGAGCTAACACACACAGCAATCTACGTATCCTCACTCTGTGTCTGTTTTCATAGATAGCTGAGTTTAATTAGCATTATAATACTTTGTCTTATGTGCCTTGCGTATTTTTCCTACGCTTAACAAAGTTTGACAAAAGGCGGAACTACCACTGTCAGGTTTTGTCACTGGTGACACGTGAGGTGATAAAGTCTCTTTTTATAGAGAATGACGCACCTCTCGCGATCCTCCATCGATATCATTGTTGTTCTCTCATGCAGGCGCGAGAGTACAGAACTGCTGATGGCTCCGGGCACATGATGCGGCAGATGCTGAAGAGGAACTCGCAGCCTCCACAAGGGCAAGGTTTGGGTAAGTGAAACCTATTGTATAAGCTGGGCCGTCACCTTCTGGGGTCTCGCCCACTCACGGTGTATTATAACTGCCAGGTAAGTGTCAAACCATTCGTAAATAGGCTTGACGGCTTACTGTGAGGTGTGCGCCAGAGGACTCCTGGCACAGTAACGCCTATAGCTCACTGTAACAGTTATGGTGTGTAGAGGCACACCAGGCTAAAATCAAGCCATTCTTTTTCCATGCATTATACATAATACATTTTAAAAATATTTGCAATTATAATCTATCCAAACCAATAAATTATACAAAAATAGTTTTAAAGTTATTTTGTTGCTGCTACAATAAATCCCATGCTTTGCACATGTTCCAAGTAAACGTTCTCCGATTAAAAACTGACCAACCAATCAGGATGCTCTAATGTTTTTCTAAGGAACTCAATGCGATAAATCAGGACTTAATGGGCAGAGGGAGAGTTTCTGAAACTTGTAGTTCAGTATCAGAATCTACTTATCAAAGCTTTTAGCTGAACTACAACTCCCAGAAACCTTAGCTGTGCTCTCTGATTCCAGAAGAATGATTAATGGAGAGGGACAGCGAGCGAGCTGTGACATCAGGTGACCAGCGAGTATCTGAGAATGGAGGCGAAAGGACAGAGGAGGCAGAATGCTGCAAATCATATATTCATTAGATTTCTATTTAAACATGAATAACAAGTAAAGAAGTAAAGGGACTGCTAACCAGAACAGAGACACACATCCAGGTAAAGCAAGACAATACACAAAACAACCAACAGGTGGCAGTACACAAAAAACTAGAGATTGGAGGTAATGCGCGTAACATCCGATAGGTGGCCCATAGACTGTTACAGTGATTAGATGTAACACATTGTAACACAGTATATGGTATGGCTCTGTGAATAATATATATTATAATATAGGCCAGACTGCCCTCTCCTGGTCTGGTATATAAGCGTAGTCTAACCCTTTGACTCAGTAGGAGTCGGTGTAACCGTAATCTCAGAGCTCCTTTTCAGGCAGGCGGACGTGACCCAGTGTCCATGGAAACCATAGTTTAACGTGAGCAAGGCCGGCATCCTTCGTGGAGGGTCACGGAGCCCCGAATAGGCTGTGGGGGTCCCAGGTGTTCAGTCACATTACTTCATGCAGACTGGGAGACATTTATTAAAGTGTCTGTTCTAAGAAGTCGTGGGGAAGTCACTAATCAAAGGGGTCTGTTGGTTCCACGGTGATTGCTCCAATTTTATTACTTTATTAATATTTTTTAGAACAGAACACTTTGATAAATCTCCCACTGACTTTATTACACTTTTATAATTTTCCTGATAGAGAAATAGATATTATTACTGTAACCTCGCATTATCTAAACGCCGCTGAGACCATGTCTGGCTCTATAGAGACATTTAATGTGGCTCTCCCTGTGGATTCAGACACAGAATTCATGAACACTGTGTTCCGAGTTTTGAAAGGTCGATGTAAAGTGAAACCTGCGAAGTATCTTTAGATGTAACATTATATAACTGGCGGATGGCACAATACACACAATGTTTGTTTAAAGTGTTTTATAATCCAGTGTCCCAAGACGTTTCCCAAGGCTTATCGAGTGGTAATGCTGATAACACGGTTTACAGACTGCGTCGTTCTTTTGTGTTTGCAAAGTGATTATGGTTCCTTATTGTGCCTGAAGCAGACAGTCACTTGACCTCTTCCAATCCACGGACACATTACCAGCAACTAAACAGATTAAAGGCTTAGAATTATATTGTGTAGTGTAGGGGTTAATATTTAGTGATTGTGTAGTGTAGGGTTTAATATTTAGGATTGTGTAGTGTAAGGGTTAATATTTAGTGAGCTTGTGGGGTAGGGGTTAATGTTTAGTGGTGATGTAGTGTATGGGTTAATCTTTAGTGATTGTGTAGTGTAGGGGTTAATATTTAGTGATTGTGTAGTGTAAGGGTTAATATTTAGTGATTGTGTAGTGTAAGGGTTAATGTTTAGTGATTGTGTAGTGTAGGGGTTAATGTTTAGGATTGTGTAGTGTAAGGGTTAATGTTTAGTGATTGTGCAGTGTAGGGTTTAATATTTAGTGATTGTGTAGTGTAAGGGTTAATGTTTAGTGATTGTGTAGTGTAAGGGTTAATATTTAGTGATTGTGTAGTGTATGGGGTTAATGTTTAGTGATTGTGTAGTGTAAGGGTTAATGTTTAGTGATGGTGTAGTGTAAGGGTTAATATTTAGTGATGGTGTAGTGTAAGGGTTAATGTTTAGTGATGGAGTAGTGTAAGAGTTAATATTTAGTGATTGTGTAGTGTAGGGGTTAATGTTTAGTGATTGTGTAGTGTAGGGGTTAATGTTTAGTGATTGTGTAGTGTAAGGGTTAATGTTTAGTGATGGTGTAGTGTAGGGTTTAATATTTAGTGATTGTGTAGTGTAAGGGTTAATATTTAGTGATTGTGTAGTGTAGGGGTTAATGTTTAGTGATTGTGTAGTGTAGGGGTTAATGTTTAGTGATTGTGTAGTGTAAGGGTTAATATTTAGTGAGGATGTGGGGTAGGGATTAATTCTGCTGTTTAGCAAACGATATAGCATATTGGTTACACGATACAGGGTTTCTTACTAAAGTGAAGGTTTAAAGGGACACTATAGTCATCAGAACAGCTACAGCTTATTGTACATTATACAGCTTATTGTACATTATACAGCTTATTGTATTTGTTCTGGTGAGTAGACTCAGTCCATTCAGGCTTTTTGCAGTAAACACTCTTTGTTTCAGAGAAAATGCAGTGTTTACATTACAGCCTAGGGATACCTCTATTGACCACTCCTCAGATGGATGCTAGAGGTGCTTCCTGGGTCAGTGCTGCACAGTGTGACTGACATTCAGTGTCTCCACCCTCTGCATGAACTTTCCTAATAGAGATGCATTGATTCTCTATGAGAAGATGCTGATTGGCCAGGGCTGTGTTTGGCTTGTGCTGGCTCTGCCCCTGATCTGCCTCCTTTACATTCTCAGCCAATCCTATGGGAAAGCATGGTGGTTGGGTGGCAGAATCACTTCTGATGATGTCAGCCAAGCAGGCAGATCAGGGTCAGAGGCAGCAGCTACAGACTTGAAAACAAGTAAGGTTTTACTATTTTTAGGGATGCAAGGGGGGGGAGACAGGAGGCTAGATGGTGGTTTTAACACTATAATGTCAGGAATACATGTATAGTGCTCCTAATATTATACCATCTCATTATTATTTTAATTCATGTATATTGGCATCTTTACGCAGCTCGGTTCAGACTGTCAGCCAATTTTCACTATTTTTAAGTTGGCCGTTGTTTTCAAATCATTCTTGCCGGCAAAATTTTATATCAGGGAATTAGGAAAAAGCAACAAATTATTGCAAAATAGTGAGCACTAGGCCAGCTAACTAACAGGCTGACTAAAGATGGATGTCAGAAAGGGGGAGTGCAAAACGTAGGCAAGGAATTAGAAAACATAATGGGTTGTATGTTATAAAATAAAGATATTAAATACAACTATTACAAAAATGTCCATTTCCGTTTTAATTAGTAATTATAGTGTATGAAGAGCAAGCTATTCCAATTAGTCAGACAAGTAAGTGACCTATTGGTGAAAATGCTACAATGCCACGATATTTTGGAAGATGTGCGACCTAGCTGGCGCTGCCTAGGACGAGGTGACTCAGCCTGCTGCGCACACAGTGGGTTCAGTGGAGGGAAATCCCGGCCACGAGCTGTTTATTGATAAGGTTTCTTTCGCTTCCTCTCTCTGACAGATGTGAGAGTTTCAGTGACATTTCTCACCGCCTTGTTACAGGAAGGACGATGCTTCGAAGAAACTGGGCCGCGTCCTCCCCCAATACAATACTGCGTCTGTATCACCATATTCCCTCATGACAGGCAGAAAGTGATTTCAAAGTAATGAGAGCTGATATATTGATGACTTTTGCCACTAAATGGGTTTGGGAAAGGGCTGGATTAGAACTCTTACTAATCTCAGGCAGGCCTAGACATGTACGGCGCAGCCCAGTGGCATTCAAACTGTGCATTACAGAAAATAATGCACAGATAATGTCAGCCACTAAATGTGAAAACATGGTCAGTGTATTAATCGTGATACGCTCCCGGTGTTTATCATAGCTGGGACAACCCCTCAGGACCACATTCCTGTGGTGGAACTACCAGTTGGGGCAGCCAGAATAGGCACTCTGGTTTGTATCTGTGTGTCAGAGTGTGTGTATCTGTGTGTCAGTGTGTGTATCTGTGTGTCAGTGTGTGTATCTTTGTGTATCAGTGTGTTAGTGTGTGTATTAGTGTGTGTACATTGTGTTTGTCAGTGTGTGTATCTGTGTGTGTGTACATTGTCTGTTTCTGTGTGTGTCAGTGTGTGTATCTGTGTGTACCTCTGTGTATCAGGTGTGTCAGTTTATGTGTACATTGTGTGTATCTGTGTCAGTGTGTGTATCAGTGTGTGTATCTGTGTGTGTACATTGTGTGTATCTGTGTGTACATGGCCGTATTCTCTATTTCTGTGAACGCTGGTCCCTAGAATTTCACGAAGAAGAAACGATAGATCCCCAGCTGTGACAGTGAGGAAACTAAAAGCGAGATAAGTTTGTTCAGGATGGACGCAGGTCGGGGGTATCGCCTGTTTCAGATGATCTGCCATGGCTCATAATGCTGACTATATTACCTATATATTCCGTGTTCAATGTATTGGTAATTACTGTAAGGACTGTTTGATCCATGGAGTAATAATTCACTCAGTAACGGAGGTTCTCAGAGGATCATCACACAGTAACGTTACTCGTAGGGGGACTGAATCACAGGAACCTGGTTAATACTACATTCTGCCAGTATATCCATGCAAAGTGCATCATGGGGGATGTAGTGCCTATCAGGGAGAAGAGGCCAACATTTCTCAGTCAGTAAAAAAAATAGAGATAAGGGCTGCGCCAATTCTTACAACAAAATATAAAGAGCAGTGAATATTTAAACATAAAATAAGTAAAAATCACAACTCATAAAATAGGTAAAAAAATTCAAATATCAGTAAAAAGAGTCCAATAGGAAGGATCTTACTCAGATCAAATAAAGAATAAAGTGCTTGATCGATGAACCCACTCTATATGAAAGACATAAACCAGATACAAAGACCTAATAGTGCAATATGAACGGTCCATTATGTATATAGATGGAGTAAACTCACATTTAGTGGAGCTATAGCTAGCTCTAGTGTGAAGGGCGTACATCGGTATAATCACCACTTATGGGATATGCTGTGGGTTTCTTCCGTCTGGGGTATGGTCCACACTCAGGAAAGAGGGTAAAAAGAGACAACTAATAGTGCTCACTGAATAAAAACAACAGTATATATAATAACTAAAATAGTACTCACAAGCAAAGAGCGGGCTAACTGCTCCTTGGTAACAGCGCTGCTGGTATGATCCCCACCTCGGATTTCTTGGAGTGCAGGATAATAAAAATGCCAGGTAAAAATCAAGTGTATAAAAAAGATAGTTGGCACCAGGGAAGTGACCAAAAAATCTTTATTACAAAACACAATAAAAAAATCCACAAACGCGTTTCGCCTCAGGGCTTTATCAAAATGGAATAACACATAATACCTGACAGTATGAGTGTAAATAGGGATACAAATTATTAAAATTGGCGCCAAAACTAAGAACAGCCAATATACAGTATAGACAGTGAAATAAAGTTAAAACATATATAGGTAATAAATAAAGTAATTGTAATACTTGGGTATTTAATTTTGTATAAAAACGAGGTGTCTATCACAGAATATAAGGAATTTATTGCAATCATGTGACAACTGTTGATTTTTGGCAAAATAGCTGCTATGCCCTCTTGGGAAATGTAGTCTATCGGGGGTGGCACGCTTATAGCGTTCGCCAACATATTGTAGGCACATGTGGGGCGGAGTCCTGGCGTAAGTACACCAGAGAGGTCATGGCGTCTCTTTCTCAGAGTCACACTGAGGGCTAAAACGTTTGAGTAATTCACATTAATAGGAGTTTTATTGCCGTGGAGCTCTGTGATATATTCATACACACTGCACATTACTGTGTTTTATTGCTGTGGAGCTCTGTGATAAACTCATACACACTGCATATTACTGTGTTTTATTGCTGTGGAGCTCTGTGATACACTCACACTACATATTACTGTGATTTTATTGCTGTGGAGCTCTGTGATACACTCACACTACATATTACTGTGAGTTTTATAGCTGTGGAGCTCTGTGATACTCTCATACACACTGCATATTACTGTGAGTTTTACTGCTGTGGAGCTCTGTGATACTCTCATACACCCTGCACATTACTGTGAGTTTTATAGCTGTGGAGCTCTGTGATACTCTCATACACACTGCATATTACTGTGATTTTATTGCTGTGGAGCTCTGTGATACACTCATACACACTGCATATTACTGTGAGTTTTACTGCTGTGGAGCTCTGTGATACTCTCATACACCCTGCACATTACTGTGAG